GGGCTTTTATCTTGCTCCTCTTGCTGTCCCTTATTGAAATACATGCTGGAAGTTGTTTTAAATGCTAGAAATTACATTTTTGGGGCTTTTATCTTGTTCCTCTTGCTGTCCCTTATTGAAATATATGCTAGACGTTGTTTTAAATGCTAGAAATTACATTTTTGGGGCTTTTATCTTGCTCCTCTTGTTGTCCCTTATTGAAATATATGTTGGAGGGTGTTTTAAATGCTGGAAGTTACATTTTGGGGCTCTCATTCTGCTTCTTTTACTGCCCCTTATTGAAATATATGCTGGAAGATTGTTTTAAATGCTGGAAATTACATTTTGAGGTTTACATTTTGCTTCTCTTGCTGCCTCTTGTTGAAGTGTATGCTGGATTTGAGTTTTGGTTTTGAGTTGTTGCCTTACTCGCGAGCTTTTGATTAAAATTGAAGTTGAAGGGCTTTGATAATGGTGTGATTTTTAGAGGTATAGAAAAGATGTTCCCTATGAATTGTTATCCTATATTTTATGAAATGAAGAAGACTTTTAAAGTTTCATTTTGGGTTTGATATAAATTGAAGTCATGTTGGGTTTGGAAATCCATAAAAGCGCTACTTGGAAAGGATATCCTTTTCGGGATTGATTCGATCATTTTCTTTTTAACAAATTTAAATGTTTTAGACCGAAACATTTGTGAGTTTTATTATTTTAATTTGGTTTTAAAAATGAATCGGTCTCATTTTCGTTTGTTTTATTTTATTTTTAACGGTCAAGTTAAAAATGGGAATTTCCGATTTAATTAAATTCAGAAATGATTTATAATCTTAAGGAAAATAGGGGAGAAAGAGAAGATGAGAGAAAATTGAAATTGAAATTTGAATTTTTGGGATGATACAATCTACAGAAGAGACAGGGTAGCGACCAATCCACCTTTTATTTTACATAAGGAAAAATAAATTGCAAATTGGAAGACTAGGTGGAATTGGAAGCAATGAGAATTTAGATAACGATTGAGAGATTAGTGAACTTACACTCAGATCCCTTAAGCTTTGAATTGATTTAAAATCTAATTCCTTTAACTAGGATTGAAGCACAACTCACAACTCTTTACCAAAACTATGAGTTTACCCCTAGGTTTTAGGAGTCTGATAG